GAGAGGTGAAGTACCCCACGTGGTTGGCGAACGTCGTCCTCGCCCCAAAGCCGCCTACGTTCAGAATGTGTGTTGATTACACTGACCTGAACAAGGCGTGTCCAATGGACCCATTCCCTCTCCCCAACATTGATCAGTTGGTGGACGAGACGGCAGGGTGCGAGTTGATGTCGTTCCTTGACGCGTTCAGAGGGTACCACCAGATATCCATGCATGAAGATGACGCGGAGAAGACTGCTTTTATGACCCCGGAGGGAATCTTTTGTTACCTCGTCATGGCCTTTGGGCTCAAAAATTCCGGCGCCACTTATACAAGAATGGTAGCCCGGGGTTTTAGAGCAGTCTTGGGCCGGACGATGGAAGCATACATCGATGACATGATCGTCAAAAGCAAACAATCCACAACTCATGCCGACGACCTCCGGGGCATCTTCGAAATCATGAAGAAATACAACCTCCGGCTCAACCCGAAGAAGTGCACCTTCGGCGTCCAGGGAGGTAAATTTCTGGGGTACCTGGTCAGCCGAAGGGGCATTGAAGTAAACCCGGAGAAGATACAAGCCATTATCAACATGGAGCCGCCCCGCAATGTAAAGGAGGTGCAACAGCTGACGGGACGCCTCGCGGCCCTGAACCGTTTTCTCTCAAAATCCGCGGAAAAGTTGCTCCCCTTCTTCCAAATAATGAGGAAGGCCGCCAGCTTCAAATGGACAACGGAGTGCCAACAAGCCTTTGACGAACTAAAGCAATATCTCGCCTCCCCACCCGTCCTATCCAAGCCCCAACCCGGCGAGACTCTCTTCCTTTACTTAGGAGTGAGCACGTCGGCCGTCAGCTCCGTACTCATCAGGGAGGATGACGGGGTACAAAAGGCAATATTCTACGTCAGCAAGACGTTGCGGGAGGCCGAGCTCAGGTACTCCCCCATTGAGAAGACGGTGCTGGCCATCGTTCACACGGTGAAAAAGCTGGGGCACTATTTCCAGGCCCACCCTGTACACGTCCTCACGCATCAGCCGTTGGGCGCCCTCATGAGGAGCCCAACCAGCTCTCCAAGGATGATCAAATGGGCAATATTCTTGAGCCAGTACCAGATTGAGACCAAGCCGAGGCCATCTATCATAGGGCAAGCCTTGGCTGATTTTGTCACGGAATGCACCGCAAGGGAGACGGCCGTCACCACCTCCGGCCATGAACCAGATGAAGCCTGGACCCTCTTCACGGATGGGTCATCGGCCAACAAGGCGTGTGGGGGTGGCGTCGTCCTCATCTCCCCGGAAGGTTTCAGAGCATACTATGCCATCCGCTTCAACTTCAAGGTGTCCAACAATGAGGCCGAGTATGAAGCGCTCCTCAGCGGGCTCAGACTAGCCGCTGGCCTCAAAGCACGCCACATCAGAATCAAATGCGACTCCAAACTCGTGGTGAACCAGCTGGAGGGATCCTACGAGGCCAAAGAAGGGAGAATGAAGCAGTACAAGGAGGCCGCAGCGGAATTGCTCAAGGCGTTCGATACCTACGAGATCACTCAGATCCCAAGGGCGGAGAACGCCGAGGCCGACATACTCTCCAAACTCAGCTCCGACACCCCTGAGCACATCTCCAAGATAGCTAAGGTGGAGGAACTGAGCATGTCAAGCATTCACGCTAGCCCCATACTCTCCATACAACACCAGCCGGAGGATTGGATCACTGACATCGCAACCTACATCACCTCCGACACACTACCTGAAGACGAGGAGAGGGCCAAACTCGCCAAACTCAGGGCGCCAAGCTATGTCATTGAGGATGACAAGCTTTACAAGAGATCATACAACGGCACCCTCCTCCGGTGCCTCCACCAGAATGAGGCCGAAGTGGCCATGGAAGAAGTCCATTGCGGCGTATGCTCATCACATCAAGGGCCCTTCAGCATGTCACGCCGCCTCGTCGTCCAAGGCTACTTTTGGCCGACGATGGCGCGCGACTGTGCAGAAATCGCCCGCAAATGAAGCGCATGCCAACACTATCAAAGGACACCTGGCCGACCGACCGTCAACTACGTCCCGGTCAGCACTGCCATCCCATTTTCCAGATGGGGTATCGACCTCGTCGGCCCGCTACCAAGAGCTGCAGGCAGCAACAGATACATCATCGTCGCCATCGACTACTTCACCAAATGGGTCGAGGCCGAACCACTCGCAAGCATCACCGGAGCGCGGTGTCGAAAGTTCGTCTACAAGAACATCCTCACCCGCTTCGGCGTGCCCCAGGAGATCATATGAGACAACGGCACCCAATTCGAAGCCGAACCGTTCCAAAGCCTCCTCCAAGAATGGGGCATCAAACACCGTTTCTCCTCCGTCGCCTACCCTCAGGCCAACGGGCAAGTTGAGAACGCCAACAGAACCATCTTGGAGGGGCTAAAAAAGAAGCTGGATGAAGAAGGCGGAAGTTGGGCCGACGAGCTCCCCAACGTCCTATGGTCCTACCGCACTACGCCGAGGAGGGCCACCGGGGAGACATCATTCTCCTTGTGCTACGGCTTCGAAGCCAATGCTCCCACTGAAGTCACCCTCCCCAGCCGACGGGTCACACAATACGACCCCGAAGCCAATGAAGAAGCCATGAAGATTGACTTGCACCTCATTGACGAAAGGCAGGAGATGGCTTACCTTCGGGCAGAGAACTACAGACGCCAAGTCAAATCTTACTACGACGCCAAGGTACGCTCCCGCGAATTCCAAGTGGGGGACTACGTCCTCCGCCGAAGGGAAGCAAGCAAACCAACGGAAGGAGGAAAGCTCGCCGTCAAATTTGAAGGGCCCTACATCATCAGCGCCGTCATCAAAGCCGACACCTATAGACTAAAGAACCCTAATGGGTCAGATGTACCACGATTGTGGAATGTACACCACCTGGTGAAATTTTACCAATGACTCGAGAAGTGGTGAAGTGGGCAACGTCCCCCACCCCTCGGCTCATTGGTTGAATGAAACACCCTCGGCCTAGCGCCACTTATTGAATAAAGATCATGTTTCAATCCATTCTATCAAAGAGCTAAAAACCGCATCGGCCTAAGCGGTGATAACACCCAGGACCGATGCGACCTAAAGCCGTCGCAATAAACGACGCACCCAAAGCCGTTGCAATAAACAACGCACCTAAGGCCGTTGTGACCCACAACGCGCCTACAAAGCCGTTGCATAGACAACGCACCCAAATATCTATCGGCACAAGCGGTGAAACACCCAAATCGGCCGGCGATATGCAGGACGAAGGACCTGTGTGCATGGTCCGACGTTTTCAAACGGAGAAGCATACCGCGTCGTCCGCGCGGAAACCGCAGGACGACAAGCCTGAATTAAGGCCGAGGTTACAAAAACTCCACCCGTCAGTAAAATTTCGCTCAGGACCACAAAGGGCGGCCGTCAAAAGACGATGCCTAGTCCGGTCCCTCGTCGACGATAGACGTGGAAAGGCCAAAAAAGACGCCACTGACACACCAAGCCGAGGGCGTATTTACTCCCTCGCACTAATCCACGCGAAAAGCGTAACGGACAAACTACCGCACATGGACGAAGGGACAGTAACCCTTCGGCCACCCAAAAAAAAAAGAAAAAAAAAAGGAAAGAAGCCGACGGACCGCGCACTCGCCAGCCTCGAGCAAAAAATAAAATCCCCGCCAAACCTCAAAATCGGCTAAGTACATATCAGGATCACCATACAGGAACACAAAGTGCACACTTCGGCCTCGACAGCAACATCCTAAGGTTAATCATTTCGGCTTCAACCATACAGGGCCACACTACATCACTTGGACGAGGGAGCGCATCGTCTCCAAGTAGCAAAACCCAAGTGACAAACCAAAGCGAAAACACCTACATCAAGGCAAGCTTGACACTTAGAGACAATTCCAAATCACATTACTACAAAGACGACGATGCGCTACCAATAGGCATCGCTTCGTCCTCAACACTCCGAGACAATTCCCAATGCTTGAGAAACTCGGAAAATTGTTCAAAACAGAAACGGAATTCACCAAGGGACGATGAGGCGCATCGTCCCTGAGGACTGCAAAGTACATAAGATCGCTACGTCTCAATTAAGAGACGCCAACATCCTCAAAACACAACCTTGACACTTAGAAAAATTTACAAGTGCAAGCATACTTAACTACAAAGACGAGGAGATAATCATGATGAGGAAAAGAATTATCATTAATGGATGCAAAGATACAAAAGGTGGGCACTTCGGCCATTACATGCACTTCAGTGCTGTAGCTACAAAAACTAAATACCAAGAAACACTAAGCTACCACACCAGCCGGCATTCCACCATCAACAGCACCATCAACGTGGCCATCATCGGCATCATCATAACCACCATCATCCTCGTCGGCCTGGGAATCTGCGGGCCCTTCGAGCAAGTAATCATCGCTATCGCTCCAGTGGTCTTCCCCTTCATCTGAACTTAAGATTGGAAGCTGCCTCTCCGACGGGGGAAGCTTCATATCCTCATCAGGATTCTTCATTCGCCGAGGGAGACTCAGACCCCTCGGCCTCATCTTCCGGAAGTGACGACGGAGCTTCCTATAGATGAGCTTCTGCATCCTATACTGGCCGCAGTCGTAGAAAGCTTGCATCTCGTTCATCCAAAATTCTTCGCCGGCGGGATCCTTCGTCGTCCAGTCATTCAACCTCTCGGCAACCACCTCATAGCAGAAGGGGAGCTGATCATCAGCTTTCCACCCCTCGGCCTTGAAATCAGCTATGGCCTTTTCAGCGGCCTTCTCAGCATCGGCTTTAAGCCGCTCCGCCTCCTCGGCTCTGTTGAAGGCAGTGGCAACGGCCTCATCAGCCTTTTTCCGGGCCGCCTCGGCCTCATCGAGCCGGACCTGGAGAAGCTTCATCTCGTCCTCTGCGGCCCTGGCCTTGTCTCTCAGATCTTGGAGGGCCTCATCGGCTGAAAGAGCCTTAGCCTCCACTTTCTTGAGCCGCGCAATCTCGGCTTCTTGCCTCCAATGCTGCTCCCTTAACATCAGGGCACCCTGGGCGAAGCGGAGTTTGAAATCAAGGGATAGAAACCAACAATGCAAAGGAAAAATCACAAGGGAGGATAAGATATCTTACCTGGACGACGTAGTCCAACCCCCCATCGTACAAATGGACATGTTTGCCTTGCCGGCTGAGGTACTGCCGGTCATACTCAGGCATAGCCTGGGCAAGCACGTCGTCGCCACTAACGGTCTCGTTGAAGAGACCGCCCTTCACCGAGTAACGCACCGTCACCTCATGCGTCCCCTTGGCAAGGGCCTCCTCCAGGCGGGCACTGGCAGCCGTTGTAGGAACCACCCGAGAGGCCGAAGCAACGACGGCCGATGAAGAAACCTTAGCCAGATCATCCAGGGGAGGAGCCTTGGTCAGCTGGATGTCCGCAGCAGCCTGAGAAGAGGGAGCGCCGGCCTCATCACTCGTTGGAGCCCTCTTCGTCTTCTTCGAAGCCTGGCTCGGTTTCAGCCCCGCTTCGGCCAAAGTCTTTTGGCGCTCATCTGCTCCCCTCTTTTTCTTGGCAACGGGTTTTTTGGCGGCCTCACCACCTCCCTGAGAACCACCGTCAGACTTCTTTGCCTCCTCGGCGGCTTGAGCGGCCTTCAGCTCCGCGTCGGCCTTTCTTGCAGCCCGAGCCATGAAAGACATACGATCCATATCGAAGCCTGCACAAAAAATACAAAGTTCAGCAAATAAAAACAAAGCGTTAGGTAGAGATGAAAAAAGGAGGTTAACCTTCGGCCTCGGCAGGCACGCCTAAACGGGGCCCATCAGCTTGCTCATAAGAACCAGTGATCTTCGGCCAGAAGCCATCGTCCACATCACCAGGACAATAGTACCGCACAAAGCCAAGGGCGGCCATCTTATACTCCGTGACGTACGTCTTTATACTCCTCGGCCCACCCTTGAGAAAGGCTTCCACTTGCCTGCTAATTTCAACGTTCCATGGAGGGTTGTGCAATTCAAACAAGCCGTCATGACCCACAGAGGAGAAGAACCCGCCTCGTCCCAAAGTAACAAAGACAAACTTCTCTTTCCAGCCATGGATAGACGAAGGAAGATCCGTAAAGGTCCTCCTCTTGTGCACCTGCTGCAGGGTGGCATAGCCGGCACAATTTTGGTGGCTCCCTCGGCCTATCCGGTACAAATTCATGAAGAGTGCAGTCGTCGGCGTAAATTCCTACTCCTTGCATCGAATCAAGAAGCCGACTATCAAGGAGTAACTGTTTGGGGTCAACAACGCCGGCGGAAGACCCACCATATTCAAATACTCAGTGATGAAAGGGTGGAGAGGGAACCTCAGACCCTTCGCAAAGCTCATCGGATAAATCCCGAAATAATCCAGTGGGGGATTCAGCACATGATCCGTCGGCTTCGGCGCTCGAACCCGCCCATATGGCCCCACGTACAACTGGGCGACATGATACTCGCTGAGGGTTCCCTCCGGCCGAATGATGTAGAGGTTACTAAGATCAAGCCGCGAATGCCCCTGTGGTACACCCTTCTGCTTCTTTCGCCGATACGGTCTCTTCATCTCACAAGCCGAGGGGCCCTTCCCTGCCACGGACGATATCGGCGAAGGACAAGGAATATGGGCGGAAGATGACGCCTCGTCACCCCTCAGAGGCGATTTAGATATCGCCTCGTCTTCGCCAGAACGATGGGCCCCCGCACCGGCACTCATCATCTCCTCGTCTACGGAGGTACGGTAGTCAGCTGTATTCTCCATCTCAGCTTCGAACGCTTCCACTATCCGAAGATCAACTCCAGCGGACGTATCGTCCTCGTCGAATGGCCAGTCCTCTTCGTCCAACGAAGCTGTTAAGTCAATAGGGGAGGGAGCGCTACGGCCGTTAGAGAACGGCATAACACCTACACCTATTCCTAAGGGCGGTTTCTCGGATCAAAGTGGTTTTCCTACAAACACTAGATCTAACCCCCTAGGAAGCAAAGTATAAAGAAAAATGAAGAAACAATTACAAGAACCTAACCTTGAAGTTTTGAAGAACACTTGAACACCTGAAGACTCTGGGAAGCACTTCTCTCTCTAGGAATCTCGGCAGCAATTCGACTTAGGCAAATGACAAATGAGGGAATGGCTTCGAAGTTGAGGGTATTTATAGGCATCCCATCAACGGTCACTACACGTGGCAAACTCCAATTGGTCACCTCAACGGCACCTCTCTTAGAGCCAATCAGCGCTTGCCTTTTCACATTCCACTCTAAGGCACCACTACGGCCCAACAGGCCCTGAAACTAGGGTAGGCACCGGCCTACTCACTCAAAAACAAGGAGAAACTCGCTACGGCCCAACTTACCAAAAGGGATGATCACATCATCCAAGAACGCCCCTACGGCCCCAAGGTGACCCAATAAACCACAAGCACCGCTACGGCTACTTACGCACACATCGTTTGATGATGACCCCGGTATTGCGGCCTTCGTCCAAGGGTTCTCCCACAGGGTTACCTTGGACAGGTTCGTCTAAGGGTTGGACTCACGACTAACGCATAAGGTGTCGCATCGGCTGGGGTACATCATGACTCCCTTGTGCCTCAAATACTCTTCGGCCAAAGGAGTGGGGGACTGGGGGACTGTATCGGCTACAGGAAAGGAAAACAGCATAAATGGGAACGCAACGGCCTCAACACACGGAGGGTTTGCTACGGCCCACCAATGACAGACAAACGATTCACCTCAATAGCATTGCGGATCGCGTCGGCTACAGAGCCCAAAGACTAAAAAACCCAAAATACGAGATCCAGCGCGCAACGGCTACGTTCACTATGGGACTGCGTCGGTTCACTAAAGCAAGAATACACAAGTCAAAGCGCTTCGGCCACATGACAGATCAAAAGCGTGCGGCTCGCATCGTCCTCATAGACGAGATCAAACATCTTCGCTTCATAAAACTATGTCACCACCACGGCCAAAAGTACGTGGGACCTCTTCGGCCCCAACAAAATGGTAATAAAACGTGCCAGTTTCTCCCTAAATTCACATCTACTGGAAAGAGAAAGCACGCCACATCATCCTCAAAACACTTTTCACAGAGAGCGCGTCGGCCCGCACCAAGGTTATGAATCCTCAAGCGCGCTCCGTCTGCATCAAATGAGGAAACCGCTTCATCCAAAATCAAAGCAGAACCTCCTCGGCCACCAAGCACCTCGAGCTCACGCAACGACCAGCCAGAAAGGAACAAGTACTCCCTTTCGCTTCGGCTCCGCCTCAGCTCAGAGAGTGGGGGACTCTTGATAGAGTATATGGGCCTGGACCCCATGGCCCACATACTCAAGTCAACGATGACCAGAACACCACCCACGTGGCCCCCTTCGGCCAGTGGGTCCGCATCGGCCAGAAACCGAACCGGCCCAGGAAGCACGCCTGGACCCCCGGGGGGGCCGCATCGGCCCATGGACCACATCGGCCATGAGACCGCATCGGCCAAAAGGCACCGCATCGGTCAGACTTCGCCCTTGCAGAATGCATCTCTCTACTTTATTTGCTAAGTATTGTACACAGCCCATTAGTGGCCCTATTTCGCCCAAAGAAGGCATGATTATTGTAATGGGCCTCCTAAGCCCATGGCTAGGGGCCCAAATCCACATTTTTACCTATAAATAGACCCCTTGGGGCTAGTTATAGGGGGTTGAGAAATATAATTACTCACTTTCTCTCTCTAGCTCTCATTTCTCTCTAGAATTAATACTCTATCAGATATATGTATATATTCTTATATGTCATATATACTTCGTACATACGGAACTGAAAAATGCAGAAGAGTATGAAGCTCATAAACTTAAATCATTAGAGTTGGTTATTCGTAATATATTGACATATTTGGTCCGTTCTTGGCTTTTGTTTTGAGAAACACCTCATTTGAAGATGTATGTTACCCGCGCGTAGCACCAGTTTGACTTGAATCTATTACAAATTGAAGATGCAAATCTTTGTCTCTTATATGTTGCCATTCATAATGTTATCAATAAAAGGGAAAATATCAAACACTCTCCCGATTCTAGTGGCTTCAAGCTTCATGCAATCTTCTGGGTTTTGTTTTCGTTTGAAGTGTAATATATGTATATAACATTGGGCATTTATTCGATCGTGCATCGCGCGTATAAAAACTAGTTAACTGAATAAGAACAATAAATAAGAGACAATCAATTGACATATTTACATCACAGTTTCATACTAAGCCAAAGCAACTTAATCATAATCCAGATTTAAGACTATAGCTACGCATACTGAAACAGAAAAATAGTAAAACAGTAGAATTTTTTGGGAAGAAGGGGACTTAAATTGATATCAAAGTATTAGCATTCAGAAAGGGAGTAAAACAAGTAAGGAACCACTAACAAACGTCAGCCCACGAATCAGACTCGGAGTTAATCACCTTCAAACAAGCAATATAACTCGTTGATCCATTAATGGGCAAACTTGAGCCACATACGATTGAAGCAGACCAAATCTCACCCAATCCTAATGCAAGAGTCTTACAATTGAAATAAATAACGACAAAATAAAACAAAGTCTGATCAACAGGAACAATAATAATAAAAGCAGTAAAGTAAAAATTCTTCTTCAACACCATGAGTACCTCCACCGAGTCCATACTTGAGAATTTCGGTCGTTCCACGTTAACCATATCTTCCTTTGTAGTCGCGCCATGTTCCTCAGCTTCCCAGGTTCTTCTACGTTTTGACTCCCCCGAAGTCCCCTCTAGACTAACCGAATTCCCTTCCTTAATGGAGCTAGTTCCCGTACTGTATTCTCTTTCCAGACCTGCCTATCAGTATCCTGCCCATCAGACATGCCCACCCGAGTACTGGAGGACCCTTCCACCAACCACTTCGTACCTCCTGTAGGGTTAGTCTTCACCCCAGTCCCAGCTCTAAGATCAACTCCATAATTTTTATCAAAGGTGATATTCTCCCCCTCATAAACTACCAGACAAAACTTGTCAGAATGCCCAATAATACCACAAACAAAGCAAAAATTTGGGAGTTTTTCATATTTAAAGTCCACTCATTTGCTCAATCTCACCTTTTCCAAAGTAGTGCCTTTTTCAGAGGTCTCCTAACATCCATACGAACTCTAGTTCTCAGATATGACTTACAATTTTCATCAGATTTTCTATCATCAAAACTAATGAATTTTCCAATATAATTGCCAATACGCCTAGCAGATCCCAGATTCATAAAACCATAAGCAGGATTGTGCACTTGTACCCAAAAATCAGCCTCATAAAGCCTAATTTGTAAAGGAATATCTTCTGTCTGAATCTCTTTTAGCAACAATAAATTCCGTTCAAACAACCAAGGACCTTCATCCAGGACACGTCTCATATCTAATATGCGATAAAAAGTAAAAATATACCTTTTTTTGCCAATTTCCGGGATTGAAACACCTTTAACAGGTCTCCACAGCGAGGCCATCAATTCTTTGAAGAACTAAAATTTAATCTTGCGATCAGTCAGAATTAAACCTACCATTGGAAACTCAGTCGTACTCTTGTTCGATTCCACATCGTCTTCTTCCTCGTCAAAAACAACATCCTCCTTGTCATCCCCATTAGCCATTTGTTTGTATTGGTGGACCATGTCTTCCATCGAATACACCCCCCCCTGCGACGAGCTTCCAAAGAAACTCCCCAACGAACCTCATGAACCCTGTTTCCTTCTTGGTAAAGCTTCGCCGCACCGGCTGCAGACCCTGCGGCCTTCAATATTCTCCTTCGCGCGAGCCAGAGGACACAAAACCAGAGCCTAGGACTCCTGGAGGCCGCACCTCGGAAATTCCGAGAGCGGAGAGAATTGGCTCTAGCGGCTGGATGCCCTAGAGAGAGAAAATTTATTTAACTGAAATTATATTGTTTAATTTTATTAGTCACTAAAACAGTAGAAAATTAAAAAGTTCATTTTAACAATAAAGAAATCAAATGGTTATGGCAAACGAATAAGGGAAAACTATCAAATAAGCCCTCGTACTATAGCGAAAATGGCGATTAGATCCTCGTACTTGAAAAACACTCAATTGAACACCCGAACTTTTAAAAACCGATCAATTGAGCGTTTTAGCAGGTAGCTTCACGTTTCCAAGGTAATGGCTTATGTGGCGACCCATGTGAATTTGATTTCTTTTCCTTTTTCCCTTTCTTTTTCTTTTTCTATTCTCTTTCTTTTTCTCCTTTCCTTTTCTCTTCTTCTTTCCCTCTTTCTTCTTTTCTTCTACGTAGGTCTCTTTCGTTTCTTCTACGCTGAATCCCCCATTCCCCCGTTGTCTTCTTCCCAACAGCACCGCCGGTCACCGCCCTCGTGACGCCGGCCACCGCCCTCGTGACGCCGGCCACCGAACTCACTGCTCAACGCCAACACTCAACCGACGACCACCACTTCACCTAGTCGGCGCCCTTCACTCCTGTCTCCAGGAATCAAGTGATGGCCTATTAGGCGTTATTTTGGAAGATATTTTTTGACTAATAGTGTTTTAAGTTTGCTAGGATTCTATTGCCTTAATGTAATTTTATTTTGTTTCCATCTTTAACAATACCGATCCAATTTATTCGGTATTCTTCTTGTATAAAGCCTGCCCACAATACATGAATAAAAGCAGAGAGTTCTTCTTCTCTTCTTCGTAGCTTTGTTGTGCATTATTATTCTAAAATTAATATGGTATCAGAGACATTTCACTAGCTTAACACGCACAAATGGTGACGCAAGGTGGTGATTCTTCCTCCGGGGAACCTCCGGCTAAGATTGATCACAATTCTCCATTTTTTCTGGGTCCTCAGGACCGTCCGGGTGATTTTATCACCTCAGTTCGTCTGGCAGCAGACAATTACGAAGAATGGTCTAACGCAACTCGTTTGGCCCTACGAGCTCGACGAAAATATGTTTTTGTTGACGGAACAATCACAAAACCGAAGCCCCCATGTACTGAGGAAGATTGGCTTACAATCCACTCTATGATAGTCTCGTGGTTGTTAAACATAATTTCGCCAGAAATCAAAGCGACTCTCTCTTGTTACGAAGATACTGCTATTGTGGAAGGACCTTAAAGAGCGATTTTCCTCTGTAGATGGACCGCGAATACATCAGGTCAAAACTGATTTGGCTCGGTGTGTTCAAGCCAAAGGAATGACTGTTGGGACATACTATGCAAGGCTGCAGGTTTTGTGGGACACTTTGAACAATTATGAGCCCTTGATTGCTTGTAAATGCAATGGATGCACCTGTGATGTTCTTGGGCAACATGAAAAATGCAGAGCCTCAGAACGAATGGACCAGTTTCTGATGGGGTTATATTCTGATTTTTTTGGGCATACCAGGTCCCAGCTATTGACGCAGACACCCTTGTCGACTTTGAACCGCGCTTACCAACAAATCACGCAAGAAGAACGTGTTAGAGGGATTGTGCAAACGCAGGACGCGCAGGATGGGGCTGGTGTAACACTGCCCCCAAGTATTTGTACTTTATCAAATTATGTATTGAACCCTGAGAAATGAATAAACGCATTTTACGTGATTGTAAATTTTTATCATTTCATTTACGCGAATAGTAAAATTCACGTGGGGCCCACACCGGGAGTGGGGACCGCCCGATATTATCGGGACCACATATTATGTTCCTCTGGGTCTAGATAATATTTATATGGTGGTGGACATTCAGGTTGGGCTATAGAAACTATGTGAGTTGGCTAGTTGTGCATATAAGGCCCATTTATGGGCACCAACGTACTGACAGATAAAAGCCATAATAAATTATGGAGACCGCTAAATTAAAAGTTGGGGGATATATATTCATTCTAAAAGCCAATAATAATTGGAAGAATGATACATATTTCATTTGACCCGATAAAATGAAATATAGTTAAAACAGTTCGGAAAATACAACTTTCGGGACTAAGTGTACACTTGGGGACTTAAAGGGATGATCTCCCACATGAGTGGGGGCCACCCCACGATTTTAGTCCTTCATATAGGTGAGGGGAGCCGTATGAGAGCTTGAATTGGGGGTTGAATGATGAGGAGGCCAAGTAAATCAACCAAGGGCCCCTCCCCACATTATTTTGGGCTATTGAGACAAAAGTGAGTGATTCCCTCCACCCACCTTCAATCAGCTCGCCCCAGCCATCATCCTTGAGGAGAGAGGGTCTTCAAATCACCATTTCCACTATCTCCATTCGAAACAAAGCTAAGGAATAAGGAGGAAAAAGAGAAGGGAAAAGAGGAGAAAACTTGAGGATTAACAAGGTAATGATTTATCAATCCCATTCCCTTTCTTTAATCTTCCCATATGATTATATAATCATATTATATACCCCTATGATCATTCTACATGTTATATGTGAAGAATGAGGGGTTGGAAGGTTGGTTCATATCCAAAATGAACTTAGAGAACAAAGTTGACGGGTTCGTCGGAAAATAACCTTTTAGAGGTTATTGATGTTGATATGGGTTTTATGATGATAAAACATTGTTATTAACTTTTATAAGGTATTCCAAGAACTTTCACGGAGTCGAAAGAGTTGCCGGAGTTGTCGCCGGAGTTCGTTGAAGTTCGCCGGAGTTTCACCGGAGCTCAACAAGAAAGGCTAGAACTCCATAAGCTTCACTAAGGTGAGAAGACGGCTATATGCTTTATAACTTTTGCGTGAGGCATGAGATTACCTAAATTAATCAAGAATATGTTTTATGAATTTATTAATGGTATTAAAGCATGTGAAATGTCATATTAAAGAATATAACATTGTTGAAAGGCATAATATGTATGTTTGATTAGTGAAAATATTATAAATTGAAGTGCATGATGTTCCAAGGACCCAAATAGATATTTTTGGCTTAAGGACGTCAAGATGTACATGCATGTAAAATTTCACGGTAATCGGACTTTGTTTGGGCGGTCAGACGGGCGTTGACCGCCAAGTCAACTGTTGTACCCGACCGGGTATTGGCAAATACCCGACCGGGTATTGGCAAATACCCGACCGGGTATTAACTGAAAATAGCCCCAGGGGGCTACTGCCTCCTTTACCCGACCGGGTACAGGTAGGTACTCGACCGAGTATTGGGTTTTACACCCAATAGTCAGTTTTGAACGAGTATAACGAGGGCCGTTCGGGTGGGACCCGCCCATGTTGATTATTAAGGATTATTATATGACTATAGGATTAGGTATTGTCCATAGTTAAGGGAATGAAAGGTTAGCCATATCCAGGTTAGGGTTTGGTAAGAAATAAGGTTGAGGTTGAGTATCCTCGGGACGGTAAATGATCCTAAAACTCGGTTGAGGTTGAGTATCCTCAGGACGGTAAATGATCCTAAAACTCGGTTGAGGTTGAGTATCCTCAGGACGGTAAATGATCTTAAAACTCGGTTGAGGTTGAGTATCCTCGGGACGGTAAATGATCCTAAAACTCGGTTGAGGTTGAGTATCCTCGGGACGGAACATGATCCCAAACCTCGGTAGGACATTATGAATGTAAAATGTAGCTTGTAAGCTAGGCATTCGGGAATGGATGGGAAAGGTCGGGTAAGTACCTTATCTCTAAAAGGCTCTTTAAGTGAAAATGACCTACGGGTCAAGTATTTTACAAGTATATACAGTATGTATCACCTTGTGGATGGGGTAATGAGGGTTACACCTATACATATATGTATCACCCTATTTTTGGGTCTCGTGTCTGAAACATTAGTTATTACTCATATAGCCTGCTTGTCACTAGTACTTTCTATGGAGTACTGACCCCTTCGGGGGCCTCACATTTTTCAGGTTAAGGCTAGAGTCCTATTCCTGCACCATTGCCTAGGGTGATCATCAAAATAAGGAAGACGTGGTTCGTGCTTCTATTCTTATTGAAACTATGTAATTGCTCATGGATATTTGAACAATATTTTCCATTAAACTATTGAAGGGCCTGTGTGCTCATGTTTGCCATGTGTGGCTAATTATCAAACATATTTTATTTCCGCATTTGTTTGAGTAATATATTGATGTTGATTGTATGGGTTTACTAATCGGTTTGACAATAGAATCTATCGGACGCCTAGTATGATTTAATAAGAATGAACTACGTTGTTCTTATTGGGTTGTAAGGCGGTTGTCTACGTGGCACGGATGCGGTCCGGGGGCGTGACAGCTAGTGCAGATCGTCAGAAATTCTGGGCTTCGCACTACGAACTGAAGGAAAGGGAACAGGACGGGGACCAAAGGTTGATAAATCTGGCCCAACTTGCTCTTACTGCAAATACTCGGTGATGGACAGTGTACCCGGGGGTAGCTTATCCGAAGGGTTATTGCGGGAATAACCTAGAGAGAAGTCAGAGCAACCAAGTAGGAGAGAGAGGCGATTATATTTATGAACTCGAGATGTTCTGGTCCTTTACAATGGGGAAAGGGGTGCTATTTATAGTAGCAATAAATGTGATGAGAGTACACGTGGCGATAATCTAACGGCCGAGGGGTCACCTCAATCGGGGTGGCACCGGCAATCGCACGTTCACCGCATTAAATGTGGTCGGTGGATGTGACGTCGCATTAAATGCGGTGGTTGGCTGTCTCCAAAGGGAATCTTCGATGATTGAGGCTGTTTAGCCGAAGGCTCTTCATGCAGCCGAGGGCTTCGTGTGGCCGAAGGCTCTGTGTAGCCGAAGGCTTGGTTTAGCCATCAGAAGTCCCCCACTCCTTTTGTCGAAAGGTACTTGAGGGAAAAAGAGTAATTGTGTTGATGCGTTGGCTCCGCCGAAGGCCTACGTTTTACCGGAGAGCTTTTACTGGTATTTGCCGAGGGCTTTCCCTTAGTCCCCCACATGCCGAGGGTTTTCTGAGGGAAGTGT